TATGACACACTTGTTGAATGTCAAAATAAAAGTAACTATATTAACTCTACCACCGGTTCCGAAAAAAGCCACAGTCCTGAGAAGAAACGGCGAAACAAACTCAGCGGGCTTTTTCTTTTTTTTTTTTTTTTTTTCTCAAAATATTTCCTTCTTTTTTTTTAAATAAATAAAAATATTTACAATTAAGGAAAAAACAAGTCAAAAAATACAATTAAAATAATAATAATAATAAAATTGAAAAGGCCAGGAGCGAACGCCTCATTCCCACGTAGTGCCATCTAGTAAATAATCCTTAACTTTATAATATAATATAAGTTGCAATTGAACAGTAAGAACAGTCGTATAACAAACCTGGTTCCGCGGAAGTCGGATCCGGTCCTCGTGACCGTAACCTTTAACATTAACATTTATTAATTACTAGCGGCCCGCTCCAGCTTCGCTCGAGACTTTAATAAAAATTTCCAAATTAACAACACACACATCAACCATTCTACTTGCGTCAGCTTACTAAAAAAAGAAAATTATAAAGATTGTTTTGAATAATCTTGGGTTACGTTATAGGAGTTTTAGCAAAGATTCCTATTAAAAAAAAAAAGAATATAGCCTATGTCACTCGGGGATAGTGTAGCTTCCAAACAGTGAAGGAATTTTTCAAATCGGTTCAGTAGTTTCGGAGCCTATTCAATACAAACAAACAAACAAATCTTTCCTCTTTATAATATTAGTATAGACAAAATTAACATATAAAATATAACAATAACGTTTAAAACATAGAACATTTGTAAGTGAGTGTGTGTATTAAAGTGAGTTAGTAAAATCCAGACTAATCATTGGAAAACAAACAACTGCATCCCAGCTCTGTGCTCCCATCAAGACAAAAGTACCAGCATAAGAGTTGATTACTGTGATGGACTATTAACTATCTCCAAGTGAATTTAATCTGAATCAATAAGAAAGCTATTGTTTTTTTTTTTTCATAAATTCACAGGGTTTTCCAAGAGATGCTGTATGCCCACAATATCGTTAAAGCTGAATTTGTGAAATTAATTGTTATTAAACAACCGACGAAGTCAACTATAGTTTTACCTCATTACTGAACTCCACAAACACGTGAATTCTTCCGCCCACCTTAAGAAAATAGGTTTTACGGTTATACCGTACATCACGCTTAAAATTTGATCGCTTCACTCTAGAAATAGGTAAGTCATCAGTAAAAAAAAAAAAAAAAAATCCCGCGCACACAAAACCCTTTTTTACCAGTCAAAATATTAAGCAAGTGACAATTAAGTTCTGTTAATTTGTAAAATTAATACATTTTATCAAATGTAAAATTTTACGTCAATCGTTGTAATGGTGTCTTCTTTTTCATCGGATGCCATCTTGTAAAGAAAATCATCATTAAGGCAGCTTGAATCATACTTAGAACACATTTAAATAAAGACCTAATATTTGAATGTTTCTGAATCATTGGCGCAGATTTTACAACTTAACCAAATAATAGAAGGAAAACCCGCTGTGACTATCGCTAATTGTATGAGGAAAATCAATCTCCTGAAATTGTAGCGTTGGCTGTCATAAAACAAAAAATATTTGACAGATGCCTGAATTGCTCTAGCATTATCTTCTTTTTTTTTCATTAAGCTGGTAGCCTTGAGAGGATATGCCAGTATAACCAAGCGAGGTCATTTTCAAGAAAAGTTTGCATATCAAGTTCCGAACAATAACATGTGGACCGTCGGTGTATCGAGCTATTTCACCCGCTCAGCGAAGATCTTACCTTTATTTAATCACACAACTAACTTGTCATGCGTTGTTCGGACCATATTTTAGCCTATTTACTATTCTGATGTATAAACTATTAGATTGTAAAGTTACGCAAGTACTTTTTACGTTGAAGCTAACAAACATGCATCGTTCCTCACAGTGCTCCACATTGTGAAGAACATTGTGGACACCTTTCGCAAAATACCTTTATTCCTCACGATATCTCTATCTTGGATTCGATTATATTTTTTTGGCATTTTTCATAGACCTAGGTTTCATACTTCAGTGGAATTTTCGAGTCCAGTTATAATAGACGTCACTATTTGAATGTCATGGCTTAATTTAACATACATGTGACTTTTTCCGAATCTACGCTAACAGATAACAAAATTAATTAGACACGCCCATCACTTATAAATACTCATTACAAATACGATAACGCACTCAGTTGATATACGCATAACAGCCACGTACGTATCATATTATCTAATCTATGAGAATTGTCTATACAACCTGTCGTCGGCGGCAAGACGAATAATAAATAGGAGGCACCGTAAATCCATTAGATGTATATAAATTGTTTGCATAGGATCATGTTTCATAGCAATCTGGCGCGCCTTGCAGACGTATACTCACAATTCACATACAATATGTAAACAATAGACACGTTTTAAGACGGTCTTATCGCGTTTTCTGTAAGATTTATACCATTAATTTTTCATGGAATTTTATTTTAATATTTTAGGGTCGTTTTAGCGTACGTTTTGCAACAAGACAAGGCTTTTGTTATGAAATAAACGAAAGAGCCTTCCTAAGTTTGAAAAAATATCTTGTACTTTATTAACGATAATTGGGAGCCCGTTAACAATGTACCGCTATTGTAATAGGAAATAAACTCCTAAGAAACTTTTATTCGATCATTCGTTTCATAATATTCAAAAGACATGTATAATATTTTATGAAAAGAAATTAAGATAATGCGAACGAGTGTAGTGACGCGCAGTTGACATGCAAAGCTGGAGGCTTTGGTCTGTGACGCGGCCCGATATGAGTGGAGGCGATAACGACATCGGCTCAGCGCTTTCAGAAACGTTTACCGCGTCTGCAACTTAATTGTCGTACTGTTGTACTGTCATTGTATTTTATTATTTGTGAGAAAAAAGCAAGCAAACATGTAATTAAAAGTACTAAAGGCCCGCAGTAGTCGAAATTCGACTATAATTAATTGGATTTGTAAGATTGTTCATTATTATGATTGTATTTTATACTTCTATAATCACGAATTTCGCCAAGACTACACTATAAAAAATATCAACAANGAAATTCGACTATAATTAATTGGATTTGTAAGATTGTTCATTATTATGATTGTATTTTATACTTCTATAATCACGAATTTCGCCAAGACTACACTATAAAAAATATCAACAAAGACAAACAATATTTAATCTATTCTCAATTTGACAACAGACGTCAAGAACAAAAGTTTGACAATAAATGTATGCATGCGTGTGTGCGTCAAATACATAGTATGTAGTGTGTGTAATGTTTTCTTTATTGATTTAATGTATCTTTTATGCATTATTTAAAAAACATATTAGCATTGTGCACTTCTTCTCTATATTCTCTATAAGTGTGGAAAATTTCATACTCCTCCGTCCGCGCAATTTTCGTAAAAAGGGATACAAAGTTTTTGCTTCACGTATTAATATATAGATATTTGCGTTTAATTTAAAAGTCACGTCTGCAATGACATTACTAACATCAAAGGTATATTTATATTTTTCGCTTTTTAGTTTATTTATTTTAATTCGGTCTGGTTTTGTTTTAGGTTTAATAATCGAATTTATTTCTCTCTTTTAGTTTTTTATTTAATAAAAAAAGAAATCGCAAACGCCATATTGAAATTTACCTAATAGATCATCTTGCTTAAAATGACTACATTTTTTTGAAAAAGTAAATTCCCGATATATTTCAGATACCAAAAACCCAGCCCGCTATAGTTACTTACCTAATTTGGAAAACTCCTAAACATTTTCAAGATGTACTAGTCATGACCGTGCATTTAATAATGTGTAAAAAATGAATTCAACATTCATTCGTTACAGTCGCGGATACTGTATCCAAAATTCTTACAAGTTGCGTGCGTCTTTACTCTGACAGTTCTATTTGAAAAAAAATCCTTAATATTAAATTTGCGCGTATAATTGACGTCGTCAAGCGAAAGTAAAACTGAAAATAAACCGACAATCTCCTAAGAAGCATAACGCAGTCGTATGCCTACGTACATTTATTATAATATACAACATCACATCACCTGTCGTCTCACAGGAACGTATCAAATAATCCAATTGTCGCAGCTCCGACGGTTTTGAATTAACAATGAGAATTTTCGTGCTGCCTCCAAGAAAATAATAAAAGTTCATACAGAAATATTGTTTCGTCAAATTATGTATCTCGCACACATTATGTTCCCGTTTTCGTATTCGTCCGTTTCCCGTTCTGTTGCTTATTCAAAAAGGTAAAAGAGTGAAAAACACGAAACTGCTTTTATCAAGTGCGAGATGCTCAAAGTAAAATATTCATCGGAATTGCACTCCGTATTGAAATACGAATGTAATTTTAGTTTTTTTTTTTTTTTTTGTTTGCTTCTGTACACTTTTATCGGCGTTTCATTGGTAATAGAGTTGGAGTCGGGACTTGATGATTGAAAATTTTCTAGCAAGAAGCTACTATTTCACACAAGAAAACATTTCATGCATTTTATTAGTTTCTTACAGAAGTAGATTATTTTTGGAACGAAGTTCCTTATGAGACGATGCGGAGGGGTACGCTAACCGGGGAAAAACGTCCGTAACGTAAGATTTTTATTAGTAATACACACAGTGTACGACTTAACTTTGTAATAACGTACAAAAAATAACATATTTTTTTATCATTCATTGACCACGATCTCAGAGCGTTCGTTTGCGCAATACACCAATTCTTATGCAAACAACCGTGAATGAAGTGTACCACAATAAGTTCGCACGTTACCGAATGACCGTGGGTTGTTGCGAAACCTCTAGTTAGAATAGAATAGAACTTAAAATTAATATTTTTATAATAAGGAACTTTGTTCCTATCCGGTGTCCCACGACACCACACATCTTTTTTTTCATAAAATGCGTACATGAGTTTCGAGAATCGATTAGTAGGGAAACGTAGTATTTCTAATTTTTGTAATTTGTTTACAGATCGCCACGGAAGGTCTGGCTCCTTGGATGAAGCAGCTGAAGACAGCAGCAACGGAGGCAGCACGCCCAAGAAGAAAACTGTTATTGAAGAACAATGGGAAAGATCGGGAGGCTTCGAACTTACCTCAGTCGAGCAGGAAACATACGAAAAGTACTTCTACGGCACAGAACATTGGAACTATTTTACTAATGACGAGGATCTCGGACCCGTTATACTTTCTATTAAACAGGAGACACTCAACTCAAGAGATCAGTTCAGGTAAGACTTAAATCTAATTTTTATTTATTTATTGCATAGATGGGTGAGCGAGCTCACAGCCCACTTGGTGTTAAGTGGTTACCAGAGCCCATACACATCTACAACGTAAATGCCACCACCCATCTTGAGATATGAGTTCTAAGGTCTCAGGATAGTTACAACGGCTGCCCCACCCTTCAAACCGGAACGCATGACTGCTTCACGGTAGAAATAAGCAGGGTGGTGGTACCTACCCGTACGGACTCACAAAAGATTCTACCACCAGTAAGTACGTTTGATTTTTATTACACGATGTTATTCCTTCACTGTAGAAGTCAATAGTAAACATTTGTTAAGTACGCATATCATTAGAAATTGGTACCCACCTGCGGGATTCGAACACCGGTGCATCGCAAGATACCAATGCACCGGACGTCTTATCCTTTAGGTCACGACGACTTCAAATTTAGTTCGACTTCTTTAAGCAAGTTCCTTGATTGTTTCTAAGTTTACAACAAATTAATGATTATCCATGATGTAATGATCCACCTTTGAATGAAGTTTTAATTCAATTAAAGCAAATTAGATGCTAATTACTTTTATGGGGATTCCCATAATTATGGGGACTAGTGGTCACTCATTAGTCGAAATTTTACCATAAATATTAATTTAAATTATGTATAAATTTGAACATTATCATGATTCTATTGCCAAAAACTTTACTTCTATAATTACAGATTTCGCCAAGGCTCATCTTAGAAAAATTATATTTAAGGCAAACAATATTAATCTATTCTCAATTTGATCACAGACTTTAATAATTAACAAAAGAGTATATACAAATGCGCATCTGTGTCAAATACATGGTAATGTGTATAATGTTTCCTTATTATTGATTTAATGTATTTTTTATACATAATTAAAAAAAATATTAGCATTCTGTACTCCTTCTCTAAATTATCTTTAAGTGTGGGAAACTTCACACTCCTCCGCCCGTACAATTTTCGTAGAAAGGCTACAAGGTTTTTGCTTAATGTATTAATATGTAGATGAACTCATATCGAATAGCCGACTTAACTTAATAGGTTTAACTTAATATGGCTCTAATAAAGAATAAAAAAAAAAAAAAAACACATATCGAATTTCATCATAATTAGTTTTGACGTTTATCGAAGTCGTCGTGGTCTAAAGGATAAGACGTCCGGTGCATTCGTGTGGAGCGATGCACCGGTGTTCGAATCTCAGACGGGTACCAATTTTTCTAATGAAATACGTACTCAACAAATGTTCACGGTTGACTTCCACAGTGAAGGAATAACATCGTGTAATAAAAAAAAAACCCGCAAACTTATAATTTGCATAATTACCGGTGGTAGGACCTCTTGAGAGTCCGCGCGGGTAGGTACCACCGTTGTAACTATACTTGAGACATTAGAACTTATATCTCAAGGTGGGTGGCGCATTTACGTTGTAGATGTCTATGGGCTCCAGTAACCACTTAACACCAGGTGGGCTGTGAGCTCGTCCACCTATCTAAGCAATAAAAAAAAAGAAATACCGAAAACCAAAAAGTCAAAGAAATGTTCGTAGTTATAATTTTAAGAAAATTAACAATCGAAGCGGCGGCTGTTTTACGGTAGGTATATATTTAATTTAAAATTTTCCACTTACTAATCAGAATACGTCAGCAACCAACTTAATAAAACCCGTCACCTGTCTAGCCAAACAGTCAGCAATGGAATTTAATCAAGTAAAATATTGTGAAACTGACGATATTGCACCCGGGCTAGTTCAAGTAAAATATGAAATTCCTATTCGAATAACTCAACGTCCGTGCTAAGTTTATAGGGAGAGTTATTTTAATCTAGAAAAGACGTCAAAAGGCATTCTTATATCGCTTGGTTGAGCCGAAGCATTATTAATACACAAATTGAAATTTTTATTCATACTAGGAATTTGATAGATTTAAAAATAAAACAATAAATAGATTAATCAATACAAAACTGCGAAATATATAGATTTTTTTTCAATGTACATTAATCAGGACATCTGCTGATATTTCAGTTTCTTAAAACTCTTGTTTATTCCTCTTATATACAGAATTGATAATTTGAAGTTTTGATGAGGTGACTAGGATATCTAGTGCAAGGTAGAGGGGGAAGAGGTCGACTGAAGAAGACATGGATGGAGTGTGTGAATGACGATATGAGAGAGAGAGAGAGGAGTGAGTGTTGAGATGACGGCTGATAGAAGAGAATGGAAGAGAAAAATTAGCTGTGCCGACCCCACCTAGTGGGATAAGGTGAAGAAGAAGAAGAGATAACTTGTAGTTTTATAAAAAAAAAGATGTGTGGTGTCGTGGGACACCGGATAGGAACGAAGTTTCTTATTATAAAAATATTAATTTTAAGTCCTATTCGAGGTATAAAGAAAATAATCATTCAGGTATACATTTTTTGATTAAAAAAAAACTACTTTACAAAGCTATCAACTTTATTTTAATCACAATGATTTATAAAAAATATATAATAATAATATACAAAGAAACAGCTACTTATATGAATAATAATAATAATAGCCGTCATCAATTAGACACTGTATAGCCATCATACTAAGACTATACATAAATAATAAAAATCTTACGTTACGGACGTTTTTCCCGGTTAGGGTAACCCTCCGCATCGTCCGATAAGGAAGTTCGTTCCAAAAAAAATTTTTTTATTCACTCCTGTATCAGTTAAAACGAACAAACCAGGACTGAGCTCAGATGTCAGTCGCATTACAAGCAACAAAATTAAAATTAACGACACTTTCGACGTCCGCGTTTAATTGGGACAACAGTGTTATCTCTTCGCGGGGTGCATTTTAATTAAAAACGGCAAGCCATTGTAAAACAGAATGGGCCTTTGTGAAGCGTTAGTAGGTTCTATAATTAACTGGCCAGTTACGGGCCTCTGCGACCTCGTACTGTTTACCTTCGCGACCCTATCGTAAACTAAGAATAGTATTAACATAACGTAGTAACTGCTAAAAGCGTTATTGCAAAATTTCATGTAAATTTTCATAATTTCGGTCGAGTTGGAACAGAAACATAGCAAAACATAGCAAAACGAAGTATACAATATGTTCAGGTCAATTTATTTCGGATTATTTTTCTAATTCTGAAGATGCTTGGTAAAGTTAAATTTTTTTTTTATTGTTTAGATATGTGGACGAGCTCACAGCCCACCTGGTGTTAAGTGGTTACTGGAGCCCATAGACATCTACAACGTAAATGCGCCACACACCTTGAGATATAAGTTCTAAGGTCTCAGTATAGTTACAACGGCTGCCCCACCCTTCAAACCGAAACGCATTACTGCTTCACGGCAGAAATAGGCGGAGTGGTGGTACCTACCCGTGCGGACTCACAAGAGGTCCTAACACCAGTAATCTATTGATATATTGATTTGAGGAAATAAGCAACCTAAAAACATTCATTATTACCTACAACTCGATTCATCCCTGTCCTCCCTCCCTGTTTGAAATTAATAAGTAACATGATTTTTGGGATTTACTCATTTCATTTAAATCTTGATGGGCAGTAATATCGACCGTTCACAAAAAAGCTTTTTGCTTTTATTTAAATAGAATCTTCACTTCGACTTTATCACGTAACACTAATTATAAAACTGTATTGTACTGAACTGTTACACTCGACCTGGTGATTAGTTTAGTAAATATGTATTTAAAATTCATATTTTACTACAAACTGAGTTAGTGCAGCAAAATTTAACACGAAATTAATACATTACCCATTATATTAATCACATATATAATTGAACATGCAATTTCGAAAAGGGCACATCTCTGAAAATGTAAAATGTTCAGGAAATGAAAAAAAAAGATTATTTTCTAAAACAGTGTAAAATTTAAAATATTAACTTTTGAGATAGATTTTAGTGTTAATTAGCAATTGAAAATTACTGGAATTATTATAAAATGGGTGTAGCTAAGCCTCAAAACTACATGTAGGTACATGAAAAAACGTATTTGACAAAATATACGACATGTGCCCTTTTCGAAATCGCATATTCAATTAATATAGGGCTAAAAATATTATTTTAGTGTAATTTGTGCTAAATATGTGTGGATGTAGATTTTATTGTATTGCGTTAAATTAAATCTGCTAGCACTAAAATTAAAATAAATATTCATAACTTTACAGTAATAACAAGAAATAGAAACGATAATAATTCACGGTAATCGACATTATTCATGTCTTTATTTAACATATTTTTGCTTCATGAAATAATAGAGAGAGAGTCTCTATAATTTTTTAATCTGTTTGAATGAATTTCATTTTTATAATTATCGGAATCACAATTAATATCCCATTATAATTAAAACGACTAGTGTTTATTATTCGCCTTAGTATTAATTATGCCTATGACTCGCGGAAGCCAAATAAAATACTATTTTCTGATTGTTTTTCATTTATCGTTCAGAATTTCCGTAGCACCTGATATAGGTCATTGGTAATAGACAGACGCTTGATGAGACTTAGCATTTTTGATGTCCCCATATATCATTTTATATATAAAAGACTATCGATTGAATACAGCCACCTATGAATAAAGTATACAGATTTGAATAATTTAAGAAGTATAATGCTTAACTCCTTTAAAGGTACCACCCCGCCTATTTCTGCCGTGAAGCAGTAATGCGTTTCGGTTTGAAGGGCGGGGCAGCCGTTGTAACTATACTGAGACCTTAGAAATTATATCTTAATGTGGGTGGCGCATTTACGTTGTAGATTTCTATGGGGTCCACTCCGTGGTAACCACTTAACACCAGGTGTGCTGTGAGCTCGTCAACCAATCTAAGCAATAAAAAAAATTGTACCTTTAATGATAATTGCACTTAAAGAGTAAACTCCAGTCGCGTTTCGAAGCTGACACGCACTTTACTTAAGGCATTTTTCTCAGATAATAATTCTATAAATATTACTATTACTTTAAATATATTTGATGAAAGTGGTA